CTATTTTTTTTTTTTTTGTTATTAATTTATTAATATTGTTAATTTAAAAAAAAAAAAAGAAAAGTGAAAATTTATATTAAATTTTAAACTTATGAATATCTTAAATATTTTTTACTTTTATTTACTTTTTTCTTTTTTTATTACGTGGTTGTAGAAACAATGAAAAAAAAAGAAATTTTTCAATTCAAATAAAACGTAACGAAAAAAAAAAAATTTTTTTTTTCATTCTGTTATTTATTTTTCGTTACGGGATTTTTCTCCACTTTTGGAACGAATAATACATATATATATATATATATTTAATATTGTTTAATAAAACTTTCCCCCCCCCTCTCTCTTTCTCTTTCTCTTTTACTCTCTTTTTCTCTCTCTCTTTTTTCTCCTACTTTCTCTCGTTTTCGCTCTTTTCCTCTCTTTCTAATCCTTGTTCTCTCTGGAATTCTATTCTCTCTTTTTTTCTTTCATTCCAACTCTATCTACCTCTCTCTCATTTTACAAAAATGATAAAGATCATTTTTGGAAAAAAAAGAAAAAAATTTTGTTTATTGATACATTAAAAAAAAAAAAATATTAATCCATCGAAAATCTTATTAGTTTCCTGTTCTGTTTTCTCTCTCTCTCTTTCTCTCTCTTTCTCTTTGTCTCTTTCTCTCTCTTCCATCTTTTCTCAAGTAATAATTTTATAATGTTGCCTTTTTAGTTTGATGGCATTGTTGTTAAGGGTTTTTATCTTTCGGGTTCAATGATTTTACTATGACTTTGTATATAAAGTTTTTTAAAAGAAAACATGAAACGTTATTTATTTATTTTTCACGTTAATGGTATAATTTAAATTTATCCAAAGAAACAATTTTTTGTAAAAAATAAAATAAAATTAATGAAAATATTATTATTATTATCATTATTATCATCAAGTTTCTGAAAAAGAGTCATAGAGAAAATAAACTTTAAAGTGTGGTTTTAAGGGGGGTTAGTTCGAGACTAGAAAAACTTTTTAAAAAACTATTACGTCCGGATGTTTTTCTCAATTTTCCAGCCGAATATTTTTTAATTTTTTTAATTTTTTGTTTTTCATTTCCGGTTGTTTTTGGAGGGAAATTTTTGTATTTTTGAAAAAAATTTTCATGATTCTTTTTTTTTTTTTTTAAATAAATTTTTTATATACTGGAATTTTTTTTTTTAGATTTCGGAAAATAAACTTAAATTAAAAAAAAATTAATTTTTTTTTTGCTGGAAAAATCTGGAAAAATAAAAAAAAACCGGAAATAAAAAAAAAACAATTTTTTTTTCTTTATAAAATTAGATTAACAAAAAAAAAAAAAGTAATAATTTTTTTTTCCATTGGGATACAATTGGAAAATTATTCGAGGATTCCAGCAGAGATTTGAATTAATTTCAAATTATAGCCCTTTCGTTCGCCTTTTTTTTCTCCAGTTTTTCTCTAGTTTTTTTGTTTTTTTGTTTTTTTGTTTTTTTACTTTTTATTTTAATTAATTAGAGAAGTTTCCGGTTATTTGTTTTTATGTTTTGTTTTTTTTTTTTAATGTTATAATTTTTTCGATCCTGGAAAAACCTTTTTTAAACTGTTTTTTACAAAACCATCATCATCATCGTTCTATGATTTTATTATCATTATTATTATTAAAGAAAGAAAGAAAAAAATTTTTTTTTTCATTTTTTAATTCCACCAAACATTCACGCCCTTGATGCGAAAAAAATACGACAAATTAAATTTTATTTGCTGGAATTCCATCGAACCTGCTGGAATCGAAATAAAAAAATTTTTTTTTAACGCTTTATTAACGATCTGAATTTTTTCATCTGCTTTTTTTTTTTTTGGTAAAAGCGTCGCGTATTTTAAATTACAGCTCAAAACTTTTTTTTCTTTTTTTTTTTTTTTTATAAAATAAAAAGAATAATAATAATAATAATAATTTTTTTACAAAATGGCGACAAAAGAAAGAAAACAAAAAAGTGAAAGGAGAAAGTGGGGGTGGGTTGGGAGTTGGGGAGGAGAGGGGAAGGGAAGGGAGAAAAAATCTAATTCAAAACAGAAAAAGATTTTTTTTTTTAACCTTTTTCCAAAATTTACCGATCCATTTAGTCACGTAAAAAAGGAAAAAAAAAGGAAAGAAAGGAAGGAGGGAGAGGAGGGGGAAGGAGGAGGAGTAGAGAGAGAGGAGGGGATGAGAGTTTAAAAAAAAAAATTTTTTTTAAACTTCTGTAACCGTAAAATGTAAAACCGAAAGCAATTTTTTTTTATTTTTTATTTTCTCTCCAGTTTTTTTTCTTCTTTTTCTGCCTGGAATTCTTTTTTTTTATAAATTTAAATTCATCAGTTGAAAATGATTAAATTTTTTTTTTTTGTTTTGACCGACATTTTGTTTTTATAACAATTTCGTAAACCTCACGGTCAAAATTCTTCTTCCTTTTTTTTTTTTTTTTGTTTTCCACTTTTTTTTCCCCAGTTTTCCAGTTCGAATTTTTCTCTCTCTCTCTCTCTCTCTCTCTCTCATTTCTTTACCTTTCATCCTTCATTTTTTTTTTATTTTATTTTAAATCGCCTATTATTTCCCTGAAATTTTTTTTAAACGTTGAAAATTTTCTTCTCTTTTTTTTTTTTGTTCTTCTGGGGGAAACGCTTTCCCCGTTTTTTTATTTTTATCGTTTTCGATTTTTCAATTTCCTTTTTTTCCTTTTTTTTTTCTTTGCATCTTTTTTTTTTATTCATTCATTCATTCAAAAAAAAAAAAAAAATTTTTTTTCTTCTTATTACTACTACTCTAACTTTTTCGGTTTTTTTATCGACGTCATCACGAAAATTTTCATTTTTTTTTTCTTTTTGTTTATTTATATTTACATTTTGCAAATTCAAATATTTTTTGTTTATTATTATTTAATTAAAGTTTAAAAATAGATAAAGTTTATATAAAAAAAAAAAAAAATATCTGAAAGAATTTGCATTTCCTGGGCTAACATAAATTAATTTTTTTTATCATGAATATTTAATTTTTAACCCCCCATTTTTTTCTCTCTCGCATTATCATCATCATACGTTATTTTAAAATTTATCATTTATCTTTATTATTATATATTATTATTATTATTATTATTAAGTTTTTTTTAAATATAAAACCTCATTTAAAATTAACTTCTATTATTATTATTTCGGTATATTTGATTATTTTTTAAATTAAAAATATAACCGTCAATCTTTTGATTTTTATTTGCAAAATAATAATAACAAAAAAAACTTTTTGTTTAAATAATAAATTTTGTTTATTAAACAATATCGTCGTGAGAATTTTTTTAAAAAAAACGTGAACAATAAATTAAATTATTCGGAAAATTATGAAGTGTTTCCAATAATAAAAGGAAAAAGTTTTTTTTTTTTTCTTCAAAAACTATTTTGGAACCGAACGATAAAAAAAAAGAAACGTATAAAAAGGAATGATAATAGTATTTTACGGCCGGAAGGGCCCTTTTTAAAAAAAAATTTATTACGTATGAGGGATAATAATAATAATAATAATAATAAATATAAAAAACGTATGGAACGTTAAACGTTTTTGTTCGAACAACAACGTCGACATTTTTTTTTCCTTTTATTTTCGGTTTATTTATTTTTTTATTTATGTATAAATAACTATTTTTATTTATCATGAATTAATAATTATTAATTAAATTATTCCAAAAAAAAAAAAAAATCAATAAATAATAATCTGGAACGAGGGAGAAAAAGGAAAAGGTATTTACTAAAAGAAACAATACGGCATTTAAATAAAAAAATTGTATTATTAAAAAACCTATAAGAACCATAAGTTAAACACGTGTAAATAAATTAATTAATGATAAATTTTTAATCGATTGTGTCAAAACACGCAAAATTCAATCGTCAAATATTTTTTTTTAAAATTTAAAAAAAAAAAAACCGGAAATGAAAAGAGTATATGTAAGTAATTACGCAGATTTTTTTTTGGGGGGAAAGGGAGGGAAGGGGAGAAGGGAGGGAGAAAAACAAAGTTAATGAATTAAATTTATGGTTTTTTTTTGTTTTTGTTTTTCCTTTTCCATTTTATAACTAACCAAACATTTAACCCGCCCCTTTCCCTTGAGTCCAATTTTTTGTTTTGTATGTTTAATTCAAAATAAAAAGCCAACCAAATCTTAACATTTTTAGGGATTCCACAGATTAAAACATTTTTTATTAAATTTAATTAGTATTTTATATTTTAAAAAGTTTAAAACTTTCGACTGATTTCGACAAAAACTTTTTTTTTTTTTTTAAACAAGAAGAAAAATTTTTTTTGTTGGAGTAGTAGTAGTAGTAGTTGTAGCAGTAAAATTTCAAAACAATTTTAAATAAAAAAAACTCATCAAAATGTTTTAATGATAATTTTTGTGTGTCTTTAACAGAAAAAAAAGTTTATTAATATCTTTCATCTTAAAGAGTTTTTCTTTTTTCTTTTTTTCCCCTACAGATATTATTTAAAATGACGAAGAAATTCATAAAGTTAAAAAGAATAAAAAAATTTTATTAACGTCATGACGGATATCGGCGGTAATAATAATAAAAACGTTCGACCTCCACCCGTTTGTTCTTGTCCGGATTGGGAACAAACGGGATCACAAGGAAATACTCTTTCGAAACCGGAGGGATACAACGATAGAAATTTAGTTTTCGAATGTTTACCTAATGTTTCGGTACTCAGCGACGGTTACGGTACTCACGATAGACCACAAAGTCGAATGGGTACTCTCGAACGACCCAATAGTCGATCATCGTCGGGCGTGTCTTTCGATAGATCGACGAATAGGGGAACGGTTACGTACGAAAGACCCGTTAGTAGAAATTTCGATAGACCCAACAGTCGGGTTGGAAATCATTACGAACGTCCGGTGACGACGTGCGGATCGAATAATTCGTCGGGCGGAGTGTATAACAACGATAATAGAATGATAAGTGCCGTTATCATTGATAGGCCGTCTTGTACGACGAATAGATGCGATGATAATTTAACGGAAATACGTAACAACAATCCATTACCGCAACATAATCCGAACGGAAATCGGGATTTTGACGGTGTCGTCGGTCAAGTTCATTCTTTGTGTTGTGCGGAATGGGAAAACGGTTTGAGACCACAATCGGAATGGAATATTGATTTGGATATAAGGCAACACATACAACAATGCACGTGCACGTGTAATCACATGGGATATGGAAATTATATGGATTATCAGGTAAGATCGATATCTCATCATTTTTTTTTTTTTTTAATCTCTAAGAGTATAAAGAAGAAACAAAATTAAACTTTTTTTTTTTGTTTATGTTGGTAGCAATGTTTTAAAAAAATTAATTTGAGGTTTTTTTTTATTTTCTTTTCATTTAAATCGTTTTAACTTAATTACTACGTCTTGTATACTTAAAAAAAAAAAGGAGGAGGAAGAAGAAAAAAAATTGAAAAAAGCCAAGGATAATTACACTAATAAAATGACTCGGTTGAAAAAAAAAAAAAAGTTTTATAAACTTTGAGGGGTTTTAGGTTTCAGAAAAGAAAAGAAGGGAAAAAAAACAAAAGAATGAAAAGAAAAAAAAAGCGCGGAAAATAAAAAAAGGAAGAAAAAAGGAAGGAAGGAAAGAATGAACGTTATATACAGGAATTTGTTCTTCGTTTAAAGTTTAAAAAAAATTAAGGATTCGTTCGTGTTGCGGGGGGAGGGAGTCGGAAGGAGAGAAGAGGAGAAAACGAGAGGGGAAAACAGTGACGGTGTGTGTGCGTGGGGGGAGGGGGAGAATTTTACTGAAAAAAATAAAAAAAAAAAAAAAACAACAGGAAAAACGGGTGAGAGATTTTCTACTGCTGTCGAAGGTAGAGAGGATTAATTTTCTTCTCCCCGCATTAAAAAAAATAAAAAAAGTTTTAAATTTCTCGTATTTTATCCCCCACTCCTTTCCTCTTCTTCCCCCCTCGTCCTTTTCTTTTTCATCCTCAATTTTATTTAGTTTTTTCACGGTAAATAAAAAAAAAGGAAAAGAAAATTACACAGACGCGTAATTTTTGTTTTTTTTTTTTTTTAAAGGGAGCAAGAATGGCGATTGGGGGGAAGTAAGGAGGGGTAGGGGGTGGTAGAAAGAAGCGGAAAAAGGATTTGACGAAAGAAGAAATAAAGAAAAAACAAAAAAAAACTTATCGACGTAATCCCACCGCGATATTTTTTTAGTTTACACAATTGATGAATAAATTATTTTGCCACGTCGTCCTTTGTTGTTTAAACCTGGGAAATTTTTCTTTTTTTTTTTTTTTGAAAAACTGGAATGAAAAGAAAAAGAAAGTCATTTAAAAATTTAAATCCCAGAAACTCGGCTATGAATTATTTAAATAAAAAAAAAAGAGGAGGAGGCGGAAAGGGAGAAAAAAAATAATTAGAGAATAACGAAAAAAAAGAGAAACGCGAGGAGGGAGAAGGGGAGGGTTGTGACGTTCTTTTTACGTCGTAAACATAAGAAATCTACGAAGCGACGACATTTTCCACTCCTACTAAAAAAAAAAAAGAAATTTTATCCATTATAAAAAAAATTTATTAAAAAAAACTGGAAAAAAAAATAGGAAAACAAAAATGGAGGGAAAAAATTTATTTTACGAGCGTGGCCATGCAGAAAATTGATTGTCGAAACTCAATTTTTTTTTGCGACAAAAAAGGATTTTTTTTTTAACAAAAAAAAAAAATTGTTTACGAAAATATATAATTATAATCGTGAGAGGTTTAAAAAAAAAAAAAAACGGGAATTCCAGCCAAAATAAAGGAAAAAATAGGAAGAAATAACAGGAATAACCGTGGAAAATGAACACGTAAGAAAAACCTTTGAAAACTTTTTTTTTCTTTGTGTTAAATTTTAAAAACTGTCAAGTAAAAAAAAAAGTTGTTTTTGTTTTGTTTTGCGTCTTCTGCTTTTTCTTTTTCTTCTTCTTCTTCCACTTTTTTCTTTTTTGAAAACATTTCAAAATGTGACATTTAACGATACCAAAAAGATTTTTTCCTTTTTTTTTCATCTCTCCCGATTCTCTTCCATCATTTCCATTCTTACTTGAGTCTCTCTTTTTCTCTCTCTCTCTCTTCCCCCCTCTCTCCCCCTCTCCAATACTTTTTTTTTTAATTTTAATGTTTTATTAAAAACAAAACGGGAAAAAATTAATAAAATAAAAAAATAAACGTTGAAATAACGTTGAAATTAATAAAAGAAAAAATTTTTTTTTAAAAATAAAATTCATTAAAAGGACGTTATTTTAAATTATTATTATTATTATTATATCAGATGGGGAGGGGGGGAAAAAAATGTTTGTTTCGAAAATGTCGACGTAATTTTCAAAAATGCTGGATAAAACTGGATCACTTTACGCGCGTTTTTTTTACACTCAAGATAAAAAATAAATAAAATTAATTTTTTTTCTTACTCTATGACGTCACTATGACGTAATAACACGTGACCTCCGATTTTCCTGGAATTGGGGAAATTAAAAAAAAGTTACGATTTCTCTAAAAGTAATTAAATGCAATTTTTTTAAATTTGTTTAATTTAATATTATAAAAACAACAACAACAACCAGAAAAATCGATTGTTTGTTTGTTTTTTTGTTTGTTTAAAAATACATTTTCTCCCTTTTTTTTTTAAATATTTATTATCAGTATTCGAGATATATAAATGTGTGTGTGCGTGAGTGCAAAATATTTTAAATGAAAAATGTTAACAGGAAAAGGAAGTAATAATAATAATAATGATGACGACTGGAATTCGTCGAACGAGAAAAAAAAAAATTAAATTTTTCTTTTTTGTTGAAATAAAAAAAGGAAAAAGAGAAAAAAGAGGGAAAAGTTTAAATGGGTTAAATTTATTTAACTTCGAAAATCCAAATATTTGACAAAAAAGAAAAAAAGTAATTTACGAATAGTGGTGGTGCGGTGGGGGAGAAGGGGGGGAGAGCGAGCGGGAAGAAAGAGAAAAAAAAAATAAAAGTTTAAAGAAAAATGAAAGAAATGAAAAAGAAAGGAAAAGGAAAAGAGAAAGAGAGAAAGAAAAGACAAAGAAAAAAAAAATTTTGTTCAGATGGAGATGGATGGATGTAAAGTAAAAAGTCATAAATTATCTTTTTTTACTTTTTAGGCGTTGACATTTTCTTTTTTTTTTTGGTTTTTTTTATTTTTTTAAAATTTTTATTTATTTATTTTTCGTTGTTTTTTTTTCTTTCTCCCTCTCCCCCTTCTCTCTTTCCCCCCTCTCTCTTCCC